GGTAGTAGAAGTGTGTGTGTTTCCCTTCTTTGAGTTGTGCTTGTGACGGATCGCTAGCTGTCTGAGTTATTGTAGGCAGTGTTGGGAATGTTGGATTCCTTGGGTTGTAATTTTCCTTCTAATATTCTCTGTAAGGCTGGATTTGTAGTTATGTATTGTTTAAATTTGTTTTTATCCTGGAATATTTTGTTTTCTCTGTTGATAGTGAACGATAGCTTGGCTGGGTATAGTAGTCTGGGCTTGCATCCATGGTCTCTTAGTTTCTGCAGTACCTCTATGCAGGATCTTCTGGCTTTCATGATTTCCATAGAGAAGTCTAGTGTAAGTTGATAGGTTTACCTTTATAAGTTACTTGACCTTTTTCCTTTGCAGCTCTTAATACTCTTTTTTTAATCTGAATGCTTTGTGTTTTGATTATTATATGGCGAGGGGATTTTTTTTGATCCAGTCTATTCAGTGTTCTGTATGCTTCTTGAACCTTCATAGGAATAGCGTTCTTTAGGTTGGGGAAGTTTTCTTCTATAATTTTGTTGAATATATTTTCTGGGCCTTTGATCTGCAATTCTTCTCCTTCTTCTACCCCTATTATTCTAGATTTGTTTTTTTTTTTTTATTATATCCCAGATTTCCTGAATGTTTTGTGATGAGAATTTGTTGGATTTGCTGTTTTCTTTGGTCAGAGCATTTATTTTCTCTATGGTGTCTTCATACTCTGAGATTCGTTCTTCTATCTCTTATATTCTATTGGTTATGCTTGTTTTAAGTCTCTGTTTGTTTACCTCGATTTTCCATATCCAGCTGGCCCTCGGTTTGTGTATTCTTCATTGCCTCCATTTCAGTTTTTAATTCTTGAACTGTTTTCATTACCTGTTTGATTGTTTTTTCTTGGTTTCCCAGGGTGTCATTTATGGATTTACTCATTTCTTCAAAGCTTTTGTTATATTTCTCTTCCATTTCTTTACTCATTTCTTCAATCTTTTTGTTATACTTCTCTTCCACTTCTTTAAGTGAGTTATCCATACCCTGTTTAAGGGACTCTATTGCTTTCATAATGACACTGTTTTCCACTTCTTCCGGAATAGGGTGTTCAAGTCCTTCTGTAGTAAGATCTCTGGAATCTGGTGTTTTCATGTTGTTTTTCAGATTGTTGGAGGAATTCTTGCCTTGGGGTCTGCCCATCTCTTCCTTTAAACGTTCTCTAATGGATCTTCTGGTACTGGGTCAGGTTCCTCCCTCTGATGAATCTTCTGCTAGTGGATCAGCGCCCCTTGCTATCCAGGATTCTTGCTGAGCTGATGCAGGGTCTTTTTTTCCACCACTGTCAGGCAGGCTATCGAAACACAGGCACTTCCTCCTGCAGGGTTGCACTTCCAGCCCAGTCCCAGCCTGCAAGCAGGCTGAGCTGGGTGATTTTATGGCCCCGAGGAGGAAGGGAGGAATAAAGGAAAGGGTTCCTGGTTGAAAGGTGGGATGGGCTAGGAGGTGAGAGGGCTTAGCCCCTGCAGAGTGGCCAGGGAGTCAAGGGGGACCAGGGATGTCTGAGCTTTTCCTTGTCGGGCTTCTCCCGTGGGTCAGAGCAAACTCACCCCAATGATGAATCTTCTGCAAGAGTTTGCCAGTATTTTATTGAATATTTTTGCACCCATGTTCATTAGTGAGATTGGTCTGTAATTCTCTTTCTTGATTGAGTCTTTGTTTGTTCTTAGTGCCAGGGTAACTGTAGTCTCATAAAAGAGTTTGATAATTTTCTTTGTGTTTTTATTATGTGGAACACTTTGAGGAGTATAGGTTTTAACTCTTCTTGGAAGTTCTGGTAGAATTCTGTACTATATCCAGCCCTGGGCTTTTTTTTGGGGAGGGGTTGATGACAGCTTCTATTTCCTTGCACTTTACAGGTCTAATTGAATTATTCACCTGGTCTCTTGGTGTATGGCATCTATCTAGAAAACTGTCTATTTCTTTTATGTTTTCCAGTTTTGTGGTTTTTGTAGTATGACCTAATGATTCTATGAATTTCCTCAGTGTCTGTTGATTTATCTCCCTTTTCATTTCTGATTTTGTTAATTTGGATACTCTCTCTCTGCCTTTTGATTAGTTTGGATAAGGGTTTGTCTATCTTGTTGATTTTCTCAAAGAACCAACTCTGATTGATTCTTTGTATTGTTTTCTTTGTTTCTATTTTGTTGATTGCAGCCCCCAATTTGATTATTTCCTGTCTTCTACTCCTCCTGGGTAAGTCAGCTTCTTTTTGTTCTAGAGCTTTCAGGTGCACTGTTAAGTCACTGATGTGAGCTTTCCCTACATTCTTTATGTGGGCAGTTAGTGCTATGAACTTTTGTCTTAGCACCGCTTTTATTGTGTCCCATAGGTTTGAATACATTGTGCCTTCATTTTCATTAATTCTAGGAAGTCTTAAATTTCTTTCTTTATTTCTTCCTTGACCAAGAGGTGGTTCAGTAGTTTACTGTTCAATTTCCATTAGTTTGTAGGCTTCTTGTACTGTTATAGGGATATCTTTCTTTAGATTGGGAAAGTTTTCTTCTATTATTATGTTGAATATGTTCCTTTGAGCTGGAGTTATTCTCCTTCCTACCCCTATTATTCTTAGTTTTGGTCTTTTCATAGTGTTCCAGGTTTCATGGATGTTTTGTCTTAAGAATTTGTTGGATTTAATGTTTTCTTTGATCAATGAGTCTATTTCCTCTACAGTATATTCACCATCTGGGATTCTTCTATTTCTTGTATTCTGTTGGTTATACTTGTCTCTGTAGTTCCTGTTCTTTTACCCAGATTTTTCATATCCAGAATTGGCGGAGGGGCTCAAGGTTTTGTCCTACTTTGGAGGTCCTAGAGAGTGGGGTGTCCCGCTGTGTGGTTGTTCACTCACCTGAATTCCCTCAGAATCGGAGCAAGCTGTGTTTCAGGGTTCCACTGAGATTGCAGCCTTGTTTTTTGAGATAGAGTTTCTCACGGACTTTTAAGCTCATCAATTGTCTTGACTACATGGTTTGTGATTTCTTGAGATCCTACTGTCACCACCTCCCGTGCTAACATTACAAGTATATGCCACCCAATCTGGTGTCCTATGGGTGCTGTGGGTCTGAGCTGAAGTCATCATGCTTATGCAGCAAACACTTGACATTTCCCCCAGCAATCAACTGCTCATATCTTCATCACTGCTATTAATCACTAGCACCTTGAGGGAATCCACGAATTATTCAAACGTGACACAGTTTGATGTAATTCATCTTATTTGTATCCTTTCTTTGTCCACCTGCATTACATTCTCTCCCGAAAGGATTCAGGATACTTTCTCATTTTAAAAATTTTATTTCCGTAGCTTTTTTTACACTTCTTTGTTTATATCTATGTATCTATCTATGTATGTACGTACGTACGTACTTATCTATCTATCTATCTATCTATCTATCTATCTATCTCTTTATCTCTCTATTTCTCTAATCTATGAGTGCACACATTCATAATTTGTGTTTAGAGAGCTTAGGGCACCTTGTGGGAGTTTATTCTCAACGTCTACCATGTGAACTCTGGAGACTGAATTTACATGTTCAGCCTTGGCAGAAAGCTCACTTATGCACTGAGTCATCTTACTGGAACCTACAGTATTTTTTCTTATTGAGCTTTTAGCATATGTTAAGTCCTTTTTATTTGTTCCTCAGTATGAGAATATTACATATAAACACAAATTTAACTTAGGAAATGAAGCTATTGCTAGGATAGACGGGTAGCAGGATTATAGAAGTGATTTTCAGCTTCATACTCAGGCTTGACCCTGTCATTATGATTGTATTACTAAGTTCTTACCTCATGCCAAGTCAATCCTTGTTTTCTGCTCGCCATGAATTTGCCTTCTCTTTCTTGTGTATTGTTCTCTTTTTAAATACACTCTCCTATTTCTTTTTTAAAGATTTATTTTATTGTATTAAAAAGTGATGAAAAAGTGCTTGGATGTATTGCCTGTGTGTATGTAAGTGGACATCATGTATGGAATACCTGCAGATGCCAGTAAACTGACAATGGAGTTACAGATAGTTGTGAGCTACTAAGTGAGTTTTGGAATTTGAACCTGGGTGCTCTGGAAGAGGAGCCAGTGGTCTTAACAACTGAGCCATATCTCTAGCCCTGATAAGTTGTGGAACCTTTAGTATGTGGGATCTAGTGAAGGTGCTGATATATTTGTGTGTATGACACTGTTCCTTCTATTGCTTTTCTTCCTGTCTGTGGGGTGAAGTTGACCACTACTGTAATCCAGCACCATCAAGGGAGACCTAAGCCTGATCTGACCAACAATGTCATGGAAACTCTGAATCCATAAGCTGATATAAGCCTTTCCTTGAGAGTTTAATTATGCCACTTATTTGTTATAAGAAAAAGTAAGGCTTTGCTAGCTCAGTCATTTTTGCTAATGGATACTCAATTTTATCTCTATTAAACTTGAAAATATTCTGAGTTTTTTCCTTTGGAAATGAGATTCTTAGGTTCAATACTTACACTACACTCCTACTATGTGAAACGAATTTATTAATAACAAACTACTTAGGATGATATTGGGGGAAGAGATTTGTGGAGGTTCTAATGGCTACCGGAGGTCATGAGGACCATACAACGACAGGAGAGATGCTTTCACAGAAAGAGCAAGAAAAGGCGACCTACTCAGTAAGGTAAGTCCTGTGTGGACACGAGGGTGGTTGATCTCAAGGACCTGACTGGTGGCACTGGATCTTAGATGCCCAGTGCACAGCAGTATGAGAGCCAGGTCTACAGGAGATTATTGCAGCTGAACTGTCAAATCAGTGCTTTCTTCTGTGTCTCTTCCAGATGTTTCACTCAGTTACTGATTATCACATTTTATTTTGAGGAAAACAAAGTGTTGGGCCAAGGAACAGGATCTGAGATTATCATCAAACAAAAGTAACACTGCCAACAACCAACATGAGTGTGTCATGTGTATACTGGGAATGTCAAATACCAATAGCAGATACTCTTTGTAATCAGCAATTTATTAAGTATTATTTTATGGCATCATATACGAATCAAAGTAGTTCTTCACCATCATTGTCAAGATAGGAAATGACAGACAGAGGGAACTCAGGGTTCTCCGCTGGTTCTGGCATAGAATTATAGATATTCTTTACTGTCTCTAGAAGGATTCTGATGAGGAGTTTTAGGAATTGATAGGTTATTAAGAAACTTGTGGTCGGTTGCTATGGTTTCTTTTGACTTTGGTCTTAAGGTCTCCCTTTAGCCATGGCTAGTCACTCTTTTTTAATTCAGACTTAATGAGGGTAGAAGTAACTTTTAAGTAAATGTGCATGAGTGTATGCATGTGTGTGTGTGTGTGTTTGTGTATGTATGTGTGTGTGTGTGTGTGTGTGTGTTTGTGTATGTATGTGTGTGTGTGTTGTGAGACACTATGAGAACAACAGAGCAAGGTGCATGAAAAGTAAGAAATATGTGTGCACAGGTTCCAGAGAGGTTAATGTTGCAACAGAAAATCATTGTAAGGATGTACAGAAGTGACACAGAGCTCATCCTCCCTCCCACCTCCCCCCTTTCTCTCTGTGTGTGTATTCAAGTTTGTGTGTGTAGTTGAAAGACTTGAATGAAGATGTAGGTGAACATAAAGAGTTGAAGCAAGATTGTCAGGTTCTGACATATTAATTCACATGACCAGTATCCTTTTGTTTTGTCTTGTGGTAGTGGATTGGCTAGAAAAGGTGTCAGAGGGGGTAATTTATTCTAATGCCTCCCTGGCATTAATCATTTCATGTTGTCATGATCAGTAGCTGTGGGTGAGTTGAATTTGAGTGATTCTTTTGAATATGCCTCTTTAAGGAGAACTTTGGCATCTTCAACCACTTTGTCAAGGAAAAGAGATTGAAAGTAAAACATTTTCCCAAAGTAAAGACCTGTAGCAACGAACCCACCACTAACTGAGAGAAATTTTTCCACACATTTGAAAAGCTTTTCTCCTAATGTTTCATTTTCCTTATTTGTCAACAATGAATGAGATATAAGTTTTTCTTTCAGTTTTTCGACAGGCACTTGGTATTCCTTAGCAATTAATTCCAGGGATTTGTCATCCACTCCAAAGAGTACTCGGAAGTGGTTTAAACTTGCTTCTAGCTTCTGTACATCACTGTCGCTGAGGCTTTTCAATGCAGGAATAGTAGCCAAAACGCCTTCTTTGAGGGCTTCCAACCAGATAAACTGCTTCGAAGCGTTGTACTTCATTTGAATGGCTGCCTCTGTAATATTGGGCAAGGAAAGCATAAAATTGTGGCGCTTTTGAGCAGGAAGATCCTTTATCAGAATGTCCACTAGGCTTGGAAAATCATAGTCAGATAAATTGTGGTTAGAGATCAAGAATATCTGTGGTTTTTCAATTTCATTCTTTTCAAAGGTTTTCTCATAGGATTTTCGGATTTGCTCTAGGATCTTTTCTCTGTCAAAAGTACGTGGTTTGCATTTCTTTTCATTATCTATATCAAAGTCCACCTTGGTTCTCACAAAGTAGTAATTCTTGTTCATCATTGTGATTACTTTAGCAAGTTCCATTTCATGCTCTGTAAATCGTGTGGCAGAAGCAATAATGAAGAAGTCATACTTTTGGAATTCTACTTTCTTCAGATATTCTTTTGGTGGAAATTTCAGAGTTCCAACACCAGGCAGGTCCCATATAATCAAATTTTCAAATTTGGGGTGTTTGTATGAAGTTATCTTCATAGTTGTCTCTATAACCCCAACTTCAGCTGCATCTTTCTCATCATCCCCCACTTCTCTCAGGGCATTGATGAAGCTGGACTTCCCTGCTCCAGACTCTCCAGTCACAGCAATGTTTATGGGGACGTTATCAATATTTTTTAATGCATCCCTGATGGCAGAGGTTGCCCCCTGAATGTTTCCATCTTTCAGATGTTGCTCAATTGAATGGCTTGTTTTTGGAGAAATGATTGTGCTTCCTGATTTGATGTTCTTAAAATATTTGTTGTAGCTGGAAACCAATCCTCCATTGTCTTCCTTCTTAGATGTATCAGAGAATACCTGACCCATGACTGGGTTGGAAAAGGTCCCTGAAAGGAGGAAGAGAGAGTAAGTTTCAATAGCCTGAAGACGCCTTCATGCTTAGTACTATGTTCTATATGCTGTAGCCTTAGTTATGTTCTAATAGTAACTAATTCCATATATGTTGTGCTGGCCATTTTTTGACAACAAGATACAAAATGGAGTCCTTTTGGAGAAAACCTCATTTGAAGAATTGCCCCCATCAGATTGGACTGGATGCATCAGGTCTATTGGACATTTTCTTGATTGACACTGATATTTAAGGTCCCAGTCCCAATGGGTGGTACCATCTCTGGGCAGGTATTCTCGAGTTGTAAGATAAAGCAAATGATCCAAATGTGGGATCAAGCCAGTAAACAGCATTCTCCCATTGTTCCTGCCTTTTGCTCCTGCCTGAGTTTCTGCTCAGATGTCCCTCAGTGATAGACTGTGATCAGAGTGTATAAGTCAAAAGCAAATAAACAAAAACACAACTCTTTTCTCCCCAATCTTGCTCATGAACATTGATGCAAAAATACTTTAAAAAATACTGGCAAACCAACTCCAAAAAGACATCAGAAAAATCATCGACCATGATCAAGTTGGCTTCATCGCAGAGATGGAGGGATGGTTTAACATACGAAAATCTGTCAATGTAATCCACCATATAAACAAGCTGAAAAAAAGAAACCCCACATGAACATCTCATTAGATGCTGAAAAAGCCTTTGACAAAATACAACATCCCTTCATGATAAAGGTCTTGGAGAGAGCAGGGATACAAGGAACATACCTAAACATAAAGGCAATATACAGCAAGCCAATAATCAACATCAAACTAAATGCAGAGAAACTCAAAGTAATTCCTCTAAAGTCATGAACAAGACAAGGTTGTCCACTCTTTCCATATCTAATCAATTTAGTTCTTGAAGTGCTAGCTGGAGCAATAAGACAACAAAAGGAGATCAAAGGAACACAAATAAGAAAAGAAGAAGTAAAATTCTCATGATTTACTGGTGATGTGAATAGGTAAGCGACCCCAAGAATTCTACCAAGGGACTTCTACAACTCAGAAACACCTTCAGTAATGTAGCAAGATACAAGATTAACTCTAAAAAAACAGTAGCCCTCCTTTACGCAGATGATAAATGGGTTGAGAAGGAAATCAGAGAAACATCATCCTTTACAATAGCCACAGATAACATAAAATATCTTGGAATAACTCTAACCAAACAAGTGGAAGACCTGTATGACAAGAACTTTAAATCTTTGAAGAAAGAAATTGAAGAAGACACAGGAAAATAGAAAGATTTCCCATGCTCTTGGGTAGGTAGAATGAACATAGCAAAAATGGCAATTTTACCAAAAGCAATCTACCAGTTCAAAGCAATACCCATCAAAATTCCAGCAAAGTTTTTCACAGACCTGAAAAGAATGGTACTCAACTTCACATGGAATAACAAAAAACTTAGAATAGCCAAAACAATCCTGTACAATAAAGGAACTTATGGAGGCATCAATATCCCTGACTTCAAACTCTACTACAGAGCTACAGTATGAAAACAACCTGGTATTGGCATAAAAACAGACAGGAAAAACAATGGAACTGAATAGAAGACCCAGATATCAATCCACATACCCGACATTTGACAAAGAAGAAAGAAATATGAAATGGAAAAAAGAAAGGCTATTCAACAAATGGTGCTGGCATGGCTGGGTATCAACATGTAGAGGAATGAAAGTAGATCCATGTCTAATCACCATGCACAAAGCTCAAGTCCTAATGGATTAAATACCTCAACATAAAACCAACCACACTGAACCTCACAGAAGAAAAAGTGGAAAGTACACTTGAACGTACTGGCTCAGGAGGTCATTTCCTAAATATAACCCCAGTAGCACAGACACTGAGAGAAACAATTAATAAATAGGACTTCTTGAAATTAAGAAGCTTCTATAAAGCAAAAGACATGGTCAACAAGACAAAATGGCAGTCTACAAAGTGGAAAAAGATCTTCACCAACTCCACATTAGATAGAAATCTGATCTCCAAATATACAAGGAACTCAAGAAATTGGTCAAAAAAATAAATAATCCAACAAAAAAAATGAAATACAGATCTAAACAGAGAACTCTCAATAGAGGAATTTAAAATTGCTGAGAGACACTTAAGGAAATGCTCAACGTCCTTAGTCATCAGAGAAATGCAAATCAAAACAACTCTGAGATTCCATCTTACACCTATAAGAAAGGTCAAGATCAAAAACACTGATGGCAACTTACGCTGGAAAGCATGTGGAGTAAAGGAAACACTTCTACATTGTTGGTGGGAATGCAAACTGTTACAGTCCCTTTGGATATCAGTTTGGAGATTTCTCAGAAAATTAGGAAACAACTTTCTTCAAGATCTTTGTTCTCCACAAACCTGCTGCAAGACCTCTCATGGTAGCACATCTGACCTCATCATTGGTTAAGGAGACAGCAAATCCCGATTGTGTCCTGGAGCCTCCTTTTCTGTCTCACCAATAGCAAATCAGTTCTCAGACTTAATTTCTATTTCCAAATCCAATCACAACTGATCATTCCTCCTACATTATCTTCTTCATGACCTCCTCAATTTCAGCTTTGATTATGTTATCCACACTACTATATTTCCTGTTAGTGTAACAACATGGGTGATCAAACAGCCAGAGTTTTCCTATTGGCACTGAAATCATGTCATGTTGAGTCAATTCTAAAAGGGACTATAAGCATCCACATTTCCCTCAGGGAAAGTTCATTAAGGTATACAGTATGCATGCTACATACAACATACCTCTGAAATTTATTGTTACCCTTCTGAATCCCAGCCACCCTGTTATCTGGCTGTTTTCTACTCTCAGGACTTTATACTTAGTGACTGCTATCTTGCCATGTTGCTGTTCCCCAGTTATTAACTAGAGAATAACATGGTGATTAACTGTATTTCCTTTCTCCAGGTTCTGCTTCAATTAGGCAGAATTGTGATTTATATTCACATTGGGATGTAAACATGTACCTGCCTTCATCATCTGTCATCCTTTCCTTATGCTTCTGCCTCTCCACAGAACTTGCTACACGTGATGTCTAGGTTTATTTGCTGTTACTCTCTCACAATACAATGAACCTCGGGCAGCAGAATGTGCTTTTATTCCCCTCCTCACTTCTTTTTCACCAACACACAGGTGTATGGTTAATAATCAGAGAATGAATGAGGAATATGAGGAAAACATTTGATGTTTCTTGTGGACATTTGAGTCTGTTGGGGAGTTCTAAGTTCTAATATATTCATAAAGAGTAAGTGCCAAGTGTCTGGGTAGACCACAAAAATACTCTAACACAATACAGAGATATCCTTAGACCTACATCTATTCAGAGAAAAGGGTTAGAAGTTAGAGCTGAATGCTCTTTTCCACTTACCAGAAAATCCTGTGTCCAATGGATTCACACTGTACTTCAGCTATAGGAACCGCTCCACTGTGCTCCAGGCTCTTTGCTTGAAATACACTGTTGCTTCCTTTGTGGAAAGCAGTAAGTACAAGGCAGTTGGGTATCTTTTAAATGCTCCTCTGACATCCGTCTCTCCTCTCCAGGTGTGTGCTGACCAATCATAGAAGCGTATGGATGAGGTTTCTTTTCAGAATCACCTGCATTTCCAAGAAGAGGAAAGTGAAAATCAAACTACCAGTTGTCTTTCATTCTATTAACTTTTGCTTTCTTGGAATGTGGGGCTTGGAAACTGAAGGTGAACTTGGAGCAGCAGCTTATTAGCTACTCTGGAACACAAAACCCCTGAAAGACAATTTTACCGATCCCTGACTTCACAAATGTAGCTTGAAATAAAGTCTCACACACACATCATCTGTGGACTATTCAGATACCAATCAGTGTTAGTTTCATCCAAGATACAACTCATCTCTCCCTTCTGACTATAACCTTATTTCCTCACAAGATTCATATTCCTGAATTCTTTGTCATTCTCAACCCCCATGTCCCACTGGGATTTATTATGAGTTGGGTTTGACAGGTCTTGCACTTGGTCTTATTACCGTTGAGAGTTTCTTTGTGGAGTTGCCCTGCTGTGTCCAAAAGACACCATTTTCTTGTGGTCATCCACACCACCTTTCGCTCTTAAGTCCTTTCACTGCATCTTCTGCAACCATTCATGTGCCTTTGAGGTAGAAATATTCATGCTACATGAAAGGCAAGATATTCCTCAGTGTCTTATTCTCTGCATCATGACCACTGTAATTATCTGTATTGTTTATCATCTTCTAAAAATAAGAGCATCCATTGTAAGAGTTGAGTGATGCCTTAATCTATGTGGATAATGATAAATCATTAGGAAGTGAGTTAATACTTTATCCATTTAACAGTAAAATAATAGTAATTCTCACCTAGGGTCTATGATTTGTTCAGCCTTAAGTTCTTGGTCAGATAGGGTGTTATCTTGTGGAGAAGGTATTAAATTTGATCAGGAAACAGTTGCTTATTTCCATAACAATTTTGCCACCATTACACTTGTATATCTTATGGTGTCAGTAATTGTTGTAGATAACATAGTAGCTCACAGCTGGGTGATGTGTGATGTCTTTCTGTATAATATGTAGCTTTTATTGGTTGACAAATAAAGTTGGTTTGGTCAGTGGTTTTGTAGAGTAAAGTCAGGTGGGAAATCTGAAAAAGAGATTGAGTGAAAGAGAGAGTAGGTGGAGTCAAAGAGACACCATGTAGCTGCTGAAGGAGAATGATATCAGAACATTATCAATAAGTCATAGCCTTGTGATGATACATAGATAAATAGAAATAAGTTAATTTAAGATATAAGAGCTAGTTAGGAATATACCTGAGCTATTGGCCAAAGAGTGTTGTAATTGATATAGTTTCTATGTGATTACTTGGGTCTGGGTAGTCGGGAAATAAAAGCACGGTCTCTGCTTACAGCTTGGTATGATTAATGACTCCCTTTCTCTGGTAGTATATTACAGCACTATGAAAGATAACCAGTAGAAATAGAGCTTCTGGGTCAGCATCAGCCTGATTTTGACATGCTCTATAACACAAGTACAAGGTATTTTCACTAATTGGAAGTTTTAAGTTCTGGAAATTAACCAATGACCTGCAATGATCAGGGACCACACTGGCCCACAACTGTAATTCCTGGGACCAGCTTCTTTATTTATTGCCCCTTGGTATCTAGCAAGGGCATTGTTGCCCAATTTGAAGGAAACTCTATCTTAACTCCTTTCATATATATATGTGTAGATTTATTTTAGGAAGCCTCTACAGTAGTAGGCTTTCATATAACATTTTCAAATACTTCAGTGTTATTTTTCCCTCCCACTCTTCCTGTTCACATTTTCATTACTAATTCTTCAGCTTCTTGGATATCTAAACTGTTTCCTTTTCCTGGCGATTGTTAATAGAGAAGCGATGAACATGGATGAGCAAGTATCTCTGTAGAAGTACAGAGAGTCCTTTGGGAGTATTCCCAGGAGTGGTACAGCTTGATCATGAGGGAAATTTATTTTCACTTTTTGGAGAACTTCCACACAAATTACACAAGTTTACACATCCGCCAGCAGTGACTGAGTGTTTCCCTTTCCCTACAGGCACAACAGCATTTGTTGCCCTTTGTATTTTTGTTTCCAGCTGCTCTGGCTGGGGTAAAAAATCTCAAAATAAAAATCTTAAAGAAGTCTTGATTTGCGATTTCCTGATGGATAAGAGTGTTACACATTAAAAAAAAATTTATATTTCATCTTTTGAGAGCCCTGTGTTTCAGTTTATGCTCCAGTTAAATATTGGGTTGCTTGCTTTCTTGATGTGTTCTTCTTAGATTCTAGATTTTCTCTTTCTGTACAGTGTCCAAATCTTATCTATGACTCCAGAGCCTTGCTTATCTGTCTGTTGTCATGCTGTTGGCCATGATAGACATGGACTCCCTGCCTGAAACTCTAAGCAAGGCCCTCAGAGAAATGCTTTCTTTTTAAGTTTCTCAATTATACTGTCTCTTTACAGAAGTAGAAAAAGGAAACTAAGACACTTATTTCAAGTTAGAGTAGTAACAAGGGCATGGTTCTAATGCACAAACAAAACGAAACAAAAGCCCACATATTGATCAATGGAATATGACCAGAGGTCCTGGAGTAAATCTATATGTCTGCAATCATAGACTGTTTGACAGAACTCAAAGATATATACTGGAGCAAATATAGGGTCTTCAAGAAAATGTGTTGGGAAAACTGGATATTTAGCATGTAGAAGAATGAAGCTTGATTTTTATCATCCATCCTTCAAGAATCATTTCTAAAGTAATCAAAGGCTCCAAGGTTACACTTAAAATCCTGATGCCTCCATGGGAACTTATAAGGAGTACATTTCAGAATATAGGTTCAGGTAAGAACTTTCTCAATAGAACCCTCATCTATTGATGAAATGTGATCATCAAACAAGTGAGATTTTATGAAGTTAAAATGCTACCATACTGTCAAAAGAAAATAAAACTTGTCTACTGTTAGGCAGCCTTCATAATGGGAAACAATCTGAACTAGCATACTGAAGATTAGTGGAAAGAACATTCAAAGAACTCCAAAATGTAGAGACTAAAAAAACAAGCATTCCAATTAAAAATGGGTTGTGGAGCTGAACAGAGACATCTCAAAAGGAGAAAGGCAATGACTAAGAAATATTGAAAAGAGTATTTAGCAAGGACTGAGCAACTACAGCATTGGTGATCCTTCTGGTGTGAGATGGCCACTATGGGACTGCTCCATCTCTGAGCACTCAGTGTCAACTATGGGCTAGGCCTCTCAGGTGTGTTTCAGCTGTTACCATTTCAACGTAAGCTAATCTAATGACTTGTATGCATAAATATTAACAAAAAATGAAAGAAAGAAAAACCCAACAAAACTTTGGCCAGAGAAGCAGGTAGGTGAGCTGCAGATCTTCATGTCTCTATCCTCTCCTGAACAGCCAACCTTTCAGTCACCTGCCCGGTCTGCAGCTGACCACCTGCTTCAGCCTCTCCTCACTCTGCCCCCATTCCCAGCAACCAAAGCAGGCAGATCCAGGTGTAACACTCTGCTTTCCTACCTCCTGTGGGCCTCCTAAACCCCATATACAACTCATTCCTGTTGCTAAATGTCAGTTGCCAATATCTAGAAACACATAGTACCTGTAATCTCTAGTGGCTACAACTATTAGAATCCCTGGAGATTTGACCAGCAGGCAACACACAGTCACCACACCCTCCTAAGAATGAGAGAAGGGAACAGAATCCAAAGAACAAAATATTCACCCAACAAAAACAAAACCAGACATCAACACCCACAAATACAATCTTTTCAAATTCAAATGTTTAGACACCAGAGTAAAAATCTCAATTGATAATAACCAGGACAATATGTCTGCACTAGGATCCAGCAAACCTACACAACACGTTTGTTTATTGCAACCTAGCTGAAGCACAAGGAAGTGATCTTAAAGTAGCCTTTATGAACATGATTTAGGTCCTTTAAGGGAAAATGAATAAATGCCTTAAAGAAATCTATAAAAAACTAATAAAGAGTGGAAGTAAAGGGATAAAACAGTTCAAAAACTGAAGTGGAAGTAGAAACAATATAGAAAATATGAACTGAGGAAAATCTGGGAATGAAAAATTTAGGAACTTCAATAGGAACCCAGAGGCAAGCCTCATCAACAGAATATAAGAGAGGGAAGAAAGAATCTTAGTACTGAAGACATGATACAAGAAATGGATAGTCAGTCAAATAAGATATTTAATACAAAAAAGAAAAAGTACCAGCACAAAACTTTCAGGAAAACTGTAGCACCATGAAAAGGCCAAAACTAGGAATGATAGGAATAAAGGGAGAAGAAGAAATCAGGTCAAAGTCACAGAAAATAATTTCAACAAACTCATAGAAGAAAATTTCCCTAACCTGAATAAGGAGATGCCTATCAAGGTTAAAGAAGCATCAAGAACCCAAAATAGAGTGAATCAGAAAATAAAGTCCCCTTGGTGCATACTAACCAAAACACTTCATTTCAGAATAAAGAAAGAATACTAAATTCTGCAAGGAAAAAATAACCAAATAACATATAAAGGCATACCTACTAGAATAACACCAGACTGCTCAGTGGAGAACCTAAAATGCAGAAGAACCTGCATAGATGTTGTACAGACTGTAAGAGAGCACAGATGTCAGCCCAGACTAACATACCCAGCCAAACTTTTAATCACAATAGATGTAGGAAACCCATAGAAATTTCTATTTCACACTCTCCTGTGAATTAAGCAATGCTTAATGGAATATTATCAATATTTTTAAATGCATCACTGATTACAGATTCAGCCCCCAAATGTTTTCTGTTGTTAGGTATAACACAATTAAACTGATGGTTTATTTGTACTTCTTAAAATATGCAGTGAAGATGGACTCCACATTTTCTTTGTCTTCATCCTTAGACATATCAGAGAAGAACTGACTCATGACCATGAGTAAATAAATGCATGAGTTGGGCAGCAGTGGCACATGC